CGGTCTTATATACATGAATACCGCATATCTAGTAACCACTTGAGCATTCACGAACCTTTGAGAATATGACGTGTTACTAGCGTCACGTGACCACCTCTGTCATAACATTATGTAAGACACATCTGTGGGAGAATGTACAACTTCTGATCCAAGTATACTCTTTGTGCGTGAAAATGATGCATCACAACAAGAGCAGAATCATAAAAGGGACCCCCAGAAATAATAAAGAAAGTGCTGGTGTAGAGTAGCTAGGGCACGGCAGGCCATAAAAGAGAGTTCAACCTCATCCAACACCAGCAGTACTGTGACAGAAATATCCAGCCCATGGTAGAAAGAGGATCCTTTACCATTCACCTCGGAAACAAGAATTGGATGGGAAGAAGATCTTCCATTCTAAGGACATGCATCATTATCATGTGTGAATGTCTAACACAACCAAGACCTATATCCCCAATAAACCAGCATCTGAACAACAGTAGGAAGGCAGACAGCAATGTAGCAGTTCAACTCCAGTCCAGAACCAGGTGGCATTGGAAATGAATCATCCAGTCCCTTGTGAAAGAAGGGTACCTGGGCCACTCACATGTGAGAACTTATGTGGTTGGTCCAGCTCCAACCAACAATAGCACCTCCGGGAAACAACATCTGAGTAACAATAGGAAGGAGGGTGCCCAGCCAGAGGGGTGAAGTGCATTTTGGCAGAAATCCTCCAATCCATAACCAGGCAGCATCTAGAATAGTCACATCAGGTCTGTGATAGATGTGAGTACCTATACACCATCTACACTAGCAGATCACCACTGCCCTACTCTCAACTGAGTGGAAGTTAGCACACTCAAGAAGAAGCTTCCATGGTCCACCACCCCAGCAGCTAGGAGCTGGTAAGTGGTAACAACTCCAGTATTTCACTGAAAATATGGAGGGGAAATGCATTGGAGAGTCCTAAGGAACAGTATTAAACAGTATTCTTACAAAAGTTCAGATGAAACATTTCAATGACTATGACAGATTTCAAGTTCAATTTTAAAATAGGGTAAGTAACCATCATTGATAAAAACTCATAAATTTTGTCATATTTTGATTAATGTTACTGTTTGTACACCAGTAACTTGAAAGTTATATTTTTGAATAACAAAAATATAAGTTGTACTTCATATAACATTCAGTTCAATATCATTGCTGAATTTATCATTTTTATGTCACATTTTGCTTAAGTCAGATTATAAATTATCGTTTCATTTTTCAGTTACGTGAAACACTTACTTAGTTACTATCAGTATCACTATCCATATCATTATCATTGTATCAATACCCAGTATACAAATATTCTATTTCTAAAACTACAGCAGAAGAGATGTAACCTTGACCTAAATAACATTATTTAGGAAGCAACTTAACCTAGAATACTATAAATTATTTTTAAAACTGAAGAAAAAAGCCACCCACCAATCGATTGCACCTTTGTTTAATGGTGATAATGCTCCTGTTGCTGATCGAGGTGAAACTCTTTGAATAACGGGGGTTGCGCTTGAATCCATTAATTGTTTATCAGAATTCTGCATTTCTTATGACGTAATAAAGTTAAACTTAAAAATTTATATACTATTTGGTTTGAGTTACCATCAACGACTGAAAAAAACACTATATAATCACTATCTCAATTTTCAGTATTTATTTACAAGTGTCGACTTAAAAAGTCTCGTTTGCCATCTTGTGGTCAAAAGTTTCTAAAGCTAATTTGAAATAAATAGTAACTCACAAACTTTGATATTATGCATAACGCTAAAGCCAGTGAAGCGTATTTTCAAAGTAATTACTTTAATTAAAATGGCAATAAAACTGACCAAGCTTTCGAAGTGCAAAAAATCCCATATTACAAATGAGCTAACGTGGCTACTTCCAAAATTGGAATATCTACGAAGTTCTCACGGAATGTTTTAAATTTTATAATAAAAAATAGCATCGTTGAAAGAGATGTGGGTCACATATTTCGCAATACCATCGAAATTTTTTCGCGCAAAGCTACGCAAGGATTATCTGCGCTAGCCGTCCCTAATTTAGAAGTGATAGACTAGAGGTAATATAAAATAATGTTTTCTTCATTACCCAGTCAAACTGTCTCTAAACTTTTATAGACTAGAGAGAAGGCAGATAGTCAACACCACCCACCGCCAACTTTGGGCTATCTTTCACCAACGAATAGTGAGATTGACCGTCACATTATAATGCCCTTGCAGCTAAAAGGGCGAGTATGTTTGGTAACGGGGATTCAAACCTGCAACCTGCAGATTGCGAATCGAGCGGTCTAATCACTAGGCCGCATGCAGTATAAACCATAGGCCCGGCATGGCCAGATGGTTAGGGCACTGGACTCGCAATCTGAGGGTCGCGGGTTCGAATCTCCATCCCACCAAACATGCTCGAC